TTCCAAGCTCAAAGGAACAGAGGGTGGCGGTGGCCAACACATGCTCAGGACAGCTGGGGACGACACTTTGTCCTGTCTCTTAAAAAACAAACCTTGAATGGCTCAAAGGACTGCTTTCCCATCAAATATTTGTTGGCACTAGTGTGTCCTGTTGGTTAGAAAACATGTTTTTTTTTCCGGTTTGTTTTGTTTTAAAATTAGATTTCCCTGGAAAGAACAATAGAAAAGCAAAGCAGACTGTGTCCGGTGGGGCAGAAAGAAGACAATCTTTGGCCCAAGCGGTCCTGCAGTTTGGTGGGCACCAATCTGACTTAGCTGCAGGCTCCCCGTCCAGTGCCAGAGATGGGACTCACTGTCAAAGACAACAAAACCATTGATTGGGTCCTGATGCAGACACTCTGTGGATAGCTTTGAAAGTGGCTGCCCACTGGTCTTTGCCACCCTCTTGTCTTTGCTGGGGTACCAGAGGGCCTGTGTCCCTAAAACTATCTGCAATGCAAGGGCTGGGAGGTTTGGAGAAGGCTCCCAAAGTCCTGAGGTTGACCTGTTCTCTGTGTATCCCTCTGCTCCAGCCACAGCTCACGGGACATTCTCTGAGCTTTGACCCCTGGCAACTGTTGGTAGCCTGGCTGGGGACCATGACCCACAGCCCAGGGGCTATCAGCCAAACAGATGTTTCTCTTGGGGCTTTGGAGGCAAAACATGCAGAGAAAGATGCAGAGAGTGACTAAGACAGAGACACAGAGACTGAGACAGAGAACACAGAGACAGGCAGCAAGGAGACCAGACAGGACAGACGCAGAAGGGAGAACAAGGGACTGAGACCCGTGTGACAGTTGAGGCCAGTGTCCCAGGGTGTCTAAAGCTGGTCAGCCCTCCAAACTGCCACCAGGTGGCCGGGGATGCCGCTCACCCACAGCAGCTGCTCCCCCAGGCACGTTAAACTCCATCTGCCCAGCTACTGCGACAATGTAATGTTCAGACATGCTACAGGGGATGTTTTTACCGTCTCTTCCAGGAAGCACTCTCTGATAGCTCCACACCACAAGTCCCAGGCCTCTCCTTTTTGGGGGGAGGTTCCCCAGAACTTGTCCCTGGGGGGTTCCCAGCTTCTTGCAGTGACTTCAGTCTCTACCTTGTACCTGTGGCTCTCTGCAGTTTCCTCAGAGGCCAGGCTGTGTCTGAACCTCGCAGGTCCCCCTTACAATATGGGTCACACACCTGGGTCACAGCAGAAGTTATCGCATGCTCATGGTGGGGCTGGAGGCTCCACCTCCATTGTCCCGTCCGTGCCCCAAGCTCAGGCCCGGCAGCCCATGCGGACAGCCACGGTGTTCTGTGGCCTCTGCTCCAGGCACATAGTGCTGGAGGCCCAGCTGAGGAATCTGCTGGTATCTCAGAGGTGACATGCCATCCAGGCCAGAGCTCAGCGCTGTGGGGAGTGGAGTCTGGAACCTTCTCTCTTCTTGAAGTTTGCCCCAAGGTTCCTGTGTCTAGGGTGGAAGTCCCAAATGGGCCTGTCCTCTTCCCCACCCTTCCCTCTGGCCTCTCCTCCATTCGTCTGTAATCTAGGGAGCCTGGGTTGGAAAGTGTGCAGCCCAAAGGGTGTGCACAGAGGCAAAGGAGCCAGGAAGGCTAGAGCGTCCGTCCCCGATGCTTGCCCCTTCCATAAAGCCCATGCACACAGTCACAGTGAGCTGAACCGCAGGGGTGGGCACTGGGATGATTCTCAGGTCACAGCCTTCTGGCCAAGGAAGACTTTGACTTGCTGTGGCCCACAGCGACCCTCCAGCAGGAGCGGAGTCCAGGCTGAAGCAGGATGCAGGGGACGATCTTGAAGACATAAAGGGGGACAAGGGCTACTTCCCCTGGAGTTTGGCTGAAGGCCCTTGTCAGCAGCAAGCAAGAACTCCAGCATGGTTAGCTGGTTAGCTCTTTCTCCCTTCCCAGGCATGATCCAGCCATTGTCTAGGAATCCCCTCATTTACAGGAAAAGGTCATGTCTGGACTCCTATGCAGCTCCAGGGGCTTCTGTTGTTCTTGCTTGTTTTATCAGATTATAACTCCATTCAAGGCATCTCTAGAACCACTTCATCTCACTCATGAAAAGAAGCGTTCTCAGCTACTTGAAAACCACCACAGTAGTATATAAGTGACTAATGCTGGCAAACTTCATTGTGACTGTCCTTGGAGGAGCCCACATACATACTGTTAGGTATGTCTCACCATCTTCTTAAGTGCCTTTCTGTCTAAATATTTTTCAAGTTAAAATTTTTTATTATTATTGTGTAGGTACATGATGTGGGGGGGCATATGTGGAGGTCAGAGGTCTTTGAACCCTTTCTTGTCTCCACCTGTATGTGATTTCCAGGGATCAAACTCAAGTCTGCAGGCTTGGGCCACAAGAGCCTTTACCCACTGAGCCATCTTGCCAGGCCCTCTTTCTAAGTGTCTTTAAAAAGAAAAGGCTCCAATTCTGCTTCATCATACTAGCTAATCCTCAAATTCTTTTTTGCTTCAAGGCGCTGGGTTTCCATTTAGCCTGAGTTGAAAGGTTAGGGGAACTTCTCAAGTTGCCGAAGGTGGTAGCAAGACTCGTTGTCTCTGTCTTCTCAATAAGGCGAAGCCTGCATTGAACACCAGGGCCACAGCCCTCCTGCCCCCCCCATGTGAGACCCACTCCCACCGCAGAGAGCTCAGAAACTCAGGCTTCCTGACATAGCATCTGCCTAGGTCCACTGGTTGCAAGGTCCAGGCCACCACGTTGTCTTGAGTCTGTTGGAGCAACAGGACAAGCACAGGGTCCTGGCATGGAAATAGCTGATAAACACATTCCCAAGGGGTCACGGTACAGAAGAAAAGACACAAGCTTAGAAGATATAAAACTGCAACAGAGACGGATAGGATCACTTGCAGGGGGTTGGGGCTGAGCAGCCCAATGAGCATAGCAGTATGGTCCCAGAGTAGAGGCCAAATGGAAGGATACTCACTATCATGGGGGTGTGAGCCCTTGTCCCCTTTGTCTTCCAGAGTGGCCAAGTCTTCTTTGCTTGGTTGGTTTTAAATTTTTTATTTTATTTGATGTGTGTGTGCGTGCGTGCCTCTCTCTCTCTCTCTCTCTCTCTCTCTCTCTCTCTCTCTCTCTCTCTCTCTCTCTCTCTCTCTCTCTCTCTGTGTGTGTGTGTGTGTGTGCAAGCCAAGCCAAGCCATGGCATATGTTGGTCAGAGGATAACTTTTGGGAGTTAATTCTCTCCCTCACCATGTGCTCCAGGTACCAAATTCAAGTTGTCAGTTTTGATTGGTAGGCACACTTTTACCCACTGACCCATCTTGCCAGTTCAAACTCATTATATAACTGAGGCTGACCTTGAACTCAAGATATTCCTGCCTCTGCCTTGTAACCAAGTCTTCAGATTTATCCCCTCCAAAAAAGGCCAAAAATGTGCTCTTTCTGTTTCTGTCATTATTTTTATTGTATGTGTATGGGTGTTTTGCCTGTGTTTATGTCTGGTACCATGTCTGGGATTAGGTTCCCTAGAACCAGAGTTACATATAGTTGTGAGCCACCATGTAGGTAATGGAAATTGAACCCAGGTCCTCCAGAAGAGTAGTCGGTTGTCGTAATTGCTGACCCATCTCTCCAAGCTGTCTTCCTCGACTTTCTAAGGGCATTGATCCTATGGGATTAGGGCCTCGCCTTTATGATCTCATTAGCTCCAGTTACTTCTTTAAAAACTCTACTTCAAAGTCAAGTCAAAAGTTTGGGCTTCAGCTGGGCTTTGAGGGCGGCATAATTAGTCACAGAACAGAAATGCCTGCAATTGGCTTTCTAGTGTCAGGTGTTCGTGTATGCATGCACACGCTTGTGTGTGCATTCGTGCGTGCGTGCCTGTGTATGTGTGTGGGTGCATGAGTGAGAGAGAGCACTTCTGATTTTTTTAGTCACCGTCTTGAGACTGAACAAGTGTCCCTGCAGGCTAGATCGAGTCCTCAGGCCACCCCTGTCCTCCCTGCAGTCCAGGCACACCCAGTAACCAACTGCTGTGATTCAGAAGGTGGTGACTGGACTGGGCCGAATCTCAAGCACAGGTTTACGGCTAGTGGGGACTTCCCATGGCCACGCTTGGTCAATTTCTCTAATCCAGGCCCTTTGCCACCGGCAGCACAATTCTTGCACGATGCCTCAGAGATAGGTGTGGCGGCCTTTCCCTGTGGTTGAAAGGTGGAGACTCAGGGAGGCCGGGTAATGAGAGGTTTCAGGGTGATGTGGGTTTGAAATGGGACAAAGAGCAGGACAGCCATTTCCCTTAAGCTGTCCCAGAGTGAGCACAGACGAGCCCAGCCGCAGGCCAAGGACTCCTGTGCTGGTTAGTGCTGTCGATTTTCCAGGATCCATAGTCACCCAGTCACAGTTTCAGAAGTTCCTGTCCTTGGTCGCTTGGCTCTGTTGCTTTGAACTTGTGGTGACTGGGACATGAGGGTGGGGAAGTGTGGAAGAGGACTCCTTTCCCAATCGTAGTGGTGGAGAAGAGTGTCGGAAGCAAAGAGACAACATCCACTTCAAAGACTCACCTTCAATAGCCTAACTTCCTCCCACTTGGCTCCACCTGTGTGTATATGTGTGTGCACGCGTGCATACGTATGAGTGAGTGTGTGCTCAGTGCACATGTGTGCTCTTGTCTGTATGTGTACCGTGTGAATGCATGTGCCCACAGAGGCTAGAAGAGGGCGTCAGATCCCTGGGGTAGAAGTTGCAGGTCTTTGTGAGCTGCCTGATGTGGGGGCTGGGAACTGAGCACCAACACCCTTAACTGCGGCCATTTCTCCACCCCTGATGCTCAGTCTTTTATGTGTATGCTAGGAATTTGAACTCAGGTCCGCCTTCTCTCAGAACCAGCACTCGTAACCACAAAGCCATCTCTCCAGCTCCAACCCCACTTCTTAAAGGTCTGTAGCTTGGTTGGCTACAGTGCTTAGCTTGCAAGCACAAGAACAGGAGTTTAATTTTCTAGAATCCATGTTTTTTTTTTTTTAAAGCCAAGTATAGTGCCCCATGCCTGTAAACCCTAGCACAGGTAGGGGCAGGGGCTCACGGGTCAGCAGCTTAGCAAGCTGATGAATTCCAGGCCAGGTGACCGGCATCTATAAAAAAAAAAAACAAAAACAACAGAGGCTGTCTTCCACACATGTGTGCTCACACGACTACATGTGCACGCTTGCATCTGCACACACACACACACACACACACACACACACACACACACACACACACACGTCTATCACCTTCCAAAACTTGATACTGGGAGCCAAGTTCTCAATGGCAGGTCTTTGGGAATCAAACACCATCAAAGCCCACCCCCCCACCCCCGCCTTTGAAAACTACTCATTCTGTTTTGTCAAAACCCGATTTATCTGTCTTCATCTATCGCCAGTGTTCAAAGTCCCTGGATCTAACTTTCGAAACAAAGGAAGACGAAGAACTCCTCTTTAGCAAGCTTCGGTAGAACCTGATATTGTCATTTTGTGCAATGTGTCCCTGTGGGCACACACGAGGCTCCTGGCTCTTGTAGCCCACAGAGCTTTCTGTGAGGGAAAAGTCTCTGGGAATCTGGCTGCTGGGTCAGGGTGAAGAGCAGGCCGACCTGACTCTTAGCTAACTGGGGCACAGAGGCCTCCCACAGGGGCCCAAGCAGCCTCCAAACAAATCATATTTATAGGGCACCTGTCAGCCCATAAACGCCCTTTGAATCCAAGATGCGCTCAAAGCTGATAGTTTGCCTCCTCTTGCAGTCAACAGATACTCAAGTGTCACTACACACATCACTATGCTTGTTAGGTTTGAGTAATAGTGGTACAAAGAGAGAGCTAGCTGGGCTGGGTTCTCCTGTGAGCACCCAGGCTTTATGTCTGGTAATGCATCCAATGCCATAAAACTCACCCATGTGCTGAGCTGCCTTCTGAGTGAGGGAGGCTGAAACAAGACCACAGCTGGGTTCTCTCAAAATTTTATTATTACTATTATTATGTGGTATGTATGTGTATAATGTGCATGTGTGTGTGTGTGTATGGGTGTGTGGTGTATGGTATGTGTGTGGTGTGTGTGTATGGGTGTGTGGTGTATGGTATAAGTGTGATGTGTGCGGTATGTATGTATATGGTATGTTTGTATGGTGTGTGTGTATGGGTGTGTGGTGCATGGTATATGTGTTATGTGTGTATGTGTGATATGTGTGTGTGTGGTATGTATGTATGGTGTGTTTGTATGGCATGTGTATGGGTGTGTGGTGTATAGTATGTGTGAGATGTATGTGGTATGTGTGTGATGTGTATGGTATGTGTGTGTGGTATGTGTGTGATGTGTATGGTATGTGTGTGATATGAGTGTGATGTGTGTGTGTGTGTGGTGTATGGTATGTGTGTGATATGAGTGTTATGTGTGTGTGTGTGTGATGTGTATGTGAGCATGTGTGGAAAGTCAAGGACAACTTTGTGGAACCAATTCTGTCTTTCCAGTTTTATAGGAGTTCCAGGGATTGAACTCAGGTTACTAGGCTTGCACTGCAAGTGTCTTTCCCTGCTGAACCATCCCAGTGCTCCCCGGTCACCTTTTGAGTCAGAATCTCATGTAGCCCAGGCTGGCCTTGAAGTCCCTCTGTAGCTGAGGATGACCTGATCCTCTTTCCACCTCTACCTCCTGAGTGCTCTGCTCAGTCACACCATCACAGCATACTAGGTTAACTCTAGGGTCAGAACCCAGGACACTGTGCACGCTGGGCAAGCACTCTGCCAGCTGCACTATGTCCCCAGGCCCTCGGCTGTCTGATGTCACAGCTGTAGCCAGCATGCTGCTTGGGACTCTCCACCAAGCTGCCTGAGCTTCTGGAGTTCGCCTGGCCCCTAGGGGCTCCCACTTCACACACCTGACTCTACTCGACAAGAGCAGCTAGTGGAGAAAGGGCACAATCAGAAGTTTAACTTTGTCACAGGGCCACGGTACACCCAGCTTCTAGGATTCCGGGTGATGTGGTCCATTTGGACGACACCAGCCAAACTGAATATTGGAAGAAGAAACTGAGCACTGGGGCAACAGGCAGGCCCAGGTGAATGGATGCCTGCTGTCCTGGTGGGAGACAGACAGCAAGGGAGACCGCACTCCCAGGACGCAGCAGGGTGTTGTAGTACAGGAATGGACCGAGCGGGAAGAGCCAGGAGTCAGAGGAACAGTCGTGTCCTGGGGTCTTAGATGAAAATCAGGGTGATAGGGGGATAAGGGAAGAGTTGGCATGTTTGGAGCTGAGTGGGCACACAGGCAGGGTGGGGTCAGGTGGGGCACACTCTCTTCACAGAGGGTTTGGTGGCCTATGGCAGCTGTGGTTTCAGCCCATCTACTTTAAATTTGTTTTACACTTATTATTTAAATGCGTGTCTGTGGGCACTCAGGAGCCATGGTGTGTCAGTGGAGGTCAGAGACGACTTTTGGGAGTCAGTTCTCTTTCCCCATGTGGGTTCCAGGGCTCCAGCTCAGGTCATCAGTCTTACTGACAAGCACAGTCCCCTGCTAAGCCACCTCGTCAGCTTCAGTCAGGTTTGCCCTGGGGCTCAGGACAGGTTAGCAGTGCACGGTGGAGGCAAGGGGACTGTGTCCCCAGCAGTGGAGCAGAGAGTGGACTCAACTTTGTAGACTTGACCTTGTACCTGTCACTCTGCACCACATCAAAACCACGGGCCTTCTGTTCAGCCCTGACGGCAGGTTAGGGAGGTGGGACCTCGAGAGGGGAAAGGGGTTTTGCCTGCTTTGTGTGAATCTTGAAGGGCAGTGGCAGAGCCCAGACTGGCTCTCTGGGTAGGCGGGGCTGACATGGCTGATGTCACTGTGTTAACTGGTGACACCGGCCCCTGAGAGCTACCTGTCTTCAGTCACTGAAGAGAAGTACATTTGCTGTGAATTTCGTGTGTGTGTGTGTGTGTGTGTGTGTGTGTGTGTGTGTGTAGGAATGTGTGTAGGTGCGTGTCTATGTAGGCATGTGTGTGTATGTTTATGTGTGTGTAGGGGTATGTGTATATGTGTGTCTGTGTGTGTGTATTGGAGTGTGTGTAGGGTGTGTGTTTATGTGTGTGTAGATGTAGTATATGTATGTGTGTGTAGGGATGTGTATATGTAGGAGTGTGTGTGTGTGTGTGTGTGTGCATGTGTTTGTGCGTGTAGGTGTGGAGGCCAGAGGCTGATGTCAGGTGTTGTTTTCAGGATACCAGCTACCTTGTCTTCTATGACAGGGTCACTCACTAACCCTGGAGCTTGTTGATTAGTTTGACTAGTCAGCTAGAGAGCCACTAGGATCCTCCTGGCTACATCTCCCCGGGGCCTGGATTAAAGTGTGTCCCACCATTTTATGAGAGTTCTGGGGATTGAATTCAGGACTTCATGCTGCACCGAGCCATCTCCTCATCCTTCACTAGTGACCTTCTAAAACCAGCCCATATCCGCAGGGTCAAAGAGCATGCAGACGCACCATGCCCTGACAGCTGGCCAATCTGATCCTGCTGTCTGCTCTCAATTGGTACTAGTGACTCCAAGGGCAGTAAACACAGTGGCCAGGCACCCAGCTTCATGCCCCCCACTGGGCTTGGGGCTAAAGATGCTTAGACCCTTCAGCTCCCCAAGTTCAAGGTATTGTGGTTCTGCAAGGGGTACCACCGGCCCAGTGTAAGACACAGGAGAGGGCAGGACACAGACAGCCAGGAAAGTGGTATACAACATCTCAGAGTGAGCTCAAGGCTGGAGAACATAGGGCCCAGGGATGCTCATCATCTGAGCCCATGTCAGGGATGCTCATCATCTAAGCCCATGTCAGTGATGCTCATCATCTGAGTCCATGCCATGGATACTCATCATCTAAGTCCATGCCACATCACAGGCAGAGTGCAGAGGAGGAAGCTTTGAACACATAGCACAAGAAGAAGCTGTTTCCCGTGTCAGACAAGACTTTACTCCATACATCATGCCCTTGTCTCTGAGACAGTCTCTTCTGTGGCAGTTTGAATGAGAATGGCCTCATAGGCTCATGTATTCAAATGCTTGAATTCCCAGTCAGTGGAACTGTTTGCTGATTAGGAAGTATGGGCCTTGATGATGGAGTCCATTCTGTTTCCGGTTAGTGTTCTCTGTTTCTCTCTGTCTCTGTCTGTCTGTCTGTCCCTCATTTCCTCCCTCCCTCCCTCTCTGCCTTGAATCAGGATGTAAGATCTCAGTACCATGTCTGCCTGCCTTCTGCCACATTTTACCTCATGATGGCTGTGAATGCTAACCCCGTGGAACTAACTGCCAGCCCCAAAATAAACTCTTTCTTCCCCAGTTGCATTGATCATGGTGTCTTTACCCAGCAACAGAAAGGCAACTAAGACACCTCCCCTCGTCTCGTTTTCTCTTCCTTTTTTTCTTGAGAATGTCTCTGTAGCTGAGGAGCTGAGCATGACCTTGAACTTATCCTCCTGTCTCTCCACTATTCCTGGCTTAAATGGTTTTGAGGATTAGAATCATGCTAGGTAAGGGCTCTACCAGTAGAGCTACATCTCCAGCCCCTTGAGTCTTTCTTGTACATACTTGTTTGTTTCATTGGCCACCAAGTCCTGGGCATCAGCTGGAAAGCAAACTGTGCTAGGCATTGGATTCAGACAGCAGTCGTGGTGGAGAGGAGAACAGAGCTTGCGCCTGGAGTTATCTAACCTATTAAAGAGCAGGAGTAGGGTAGGTGGAGAGGACACCTCAGAAGGGCTGTACCATCGCACATCCAACACAAGGTAAGGTATGCAGCATCCACGGAGCAGCTGTAGCAGCAAATCATTGCTCGCTTCTGTGAAATCGCAGCGCCAATGCAGGGACTCTGATAGCCAAAGACCTAAGAGACTCACTGACGCTTCTTCCGCCTGCCCCTCTCCATCTGGATCCTCACAGAATAAGATGGTGACAAGAGCCATCATGCTGGTGTGACAGGAAGAAGGGTAGATGGAAAAGCAAGAAAAGAGATAGTCAAATGTGTGTTCAGAAAACTGTGTGTGGGGACGGGGAGGTGGTTGGCTCCGTGAGTTGCTTGCCTTGCGAGCATGAGGACCTGAGTTCAATTCCCAGAATCTACTTAGAAAAGAAAAACAGCTGTGCATAATGGCATGCATTGAGCTCCTGCTCAGTGGAGAGAGATCCCTGGGACTCCCTGAGTAGCCAGCCCAGCTGGACTGGTGGGTCCCAGGTCCCACCCCCCCAAAAAGATGGAAGGCTCCCGAAGAAGGTGCCGAGGGTGACCTCTGGTCCCTACATTCATCACATATACATGCACCCACTCACACAGGAACAAGCAAACATGCACACATACATAGTCGCACACAAGGCTGAACACTAGAATTGCCGCTGAGACTACAAACATCCATTCCTAACCAGCAAAGTCAAGGCTTTCACAGCCTCAGGGCAGCCAAGGCTAGGGTTGCTGTCCTCTTAGCTCCCTGCCTTAGTTTCTCCAGCTGTAAATGGGAGCTGTCAGGGCTGCCAGGGAGGTTTTAAGCAGGAGTGAATGTTAACTTCACTGAGAAGCGACACTGACTCCTGATTGTCAGATTTAAGAGATCCTAGAACTAATCACTCCCAGCCACAGACCAGGAAAGAGGTCTCGTCGCCTGTCCTGATGCTGCACACTCTCCATTGCTGCAGGTCCCCAAGGACCCAAGGCAGTTTAGCCTGGTGGCAGGTCACAGGACCTGCCCTCACTCAGGGAGGTGGCTCTGGGCTCAGCGGGGTCACACGGGTGGCTTTGTGCCTATCTGATTTTCATCTCCCCAAAATAAAAAACACTCGGCAGGGGCCATGACCTCACTGCATAGAAAATACCTCAACCTCTGGCCCCTGTGTAGGGCTCTCCAATGAGACCATTTACCTTGTTTTGCATGTTAATTGTTCTAAATGCTACTTGCTCTATGATCAATTAAGCCTTCTAGTTCTGGGAGGAAGTGGGAGGCAGATGCCCCCTCAGGGCCACAGGGTCGTCCAAGATGTTTGCACCCTGCCACCACAACAGCAAACTTTGGGACAGGCCCAAGGCCTGCCAACGTGGGCAGGTAGACTGGGCTGACAGCCTGTCTTTCATCATCAACCTCTTTTTAAAAAGATATACTTCCATGTAGCCCAGGCTGGTCTCCAACTGTGTTTCACTTATTCTCCAACTTTCACTTTCCCACTCCCTGGATTATAGGTTCAGGGCACCACAGCAGGGTTAGGAAGCTGTAGTAGAATCCAGGGCTTTGTGCATGCTAGGCAATCACTCCGAGACACACCCTGGCCTTGAACTTGCTCCGTAGCCGAGGGTAATCCTGAACTTCAGATTCCCCTGCTTCTGCCGCCCCCCTCCCGAGAACTGGGGTTCCAGGCCTGTACCACCATACCTGGCTAATGTGGTGTTGGGCAAGCACTCCACCCACTGAGCTACATTCCCAGGTTGCCCTTTGATCTCTTTCCAGTGAGGCCAACGGATTCAGAGGCCAACCTGTGCAGTCTGTGCTTCCCAGGGAGAGGCTTTGCCGAGTGTCTTTGGCCACTGCTACCTGGGCAGTTGGCCTTCCTGACCGCCGTGGCTGGGTGTGGAGAGAGAAATGCTGGTGACACCAGCTGTAGAGCCATGATCTGCAGGACGTTGCCATTGACCTCACCAGCACAGCACAGGCCCTTCATTCCACCCCGGCCTGTTGTGAGCGTTCACACATGCTCACTTCCACCCTGGACTACACACCAAGGAAGCTCACAAGTAGCCCCCCCCCCTTGACGCAGGAAGTCATGTCCCTCCACCCACCAGCCACATTTTTACAAGTTCTGTGGGGTTCAATGATCCATTTGCTCTAGTACAGATGTCCCCAACTCTCCTGCTGGTTGTCCGTATGTCATTTTCCACACAGGTGCTGCAGCTAGTCGTGTGCATATATGCATGTGTGCGTGCGTGCGTGCGTGTGTGTGTGTGTGTGTGTGTGTGTGTGTGGTATGTGCATCCATGTACAAGGTATTCATATCCATTCTTGTGCTTGGAAGCCAGAGGAGGATGTCTAGCGTCCTGGTCTATCACTCTCCGTTCTATTCCCCCAAGACAGTCAGTTTTTCACTGGGCCTGGAGCTAGGCTGGCAGCCAGCAGGATCTAGCGACCTTCTGGTGTCCACCTCGCCCACCCATAGCACTGGGATTACAGGGGTACCTGCCTCCACACAGGGCTTTTTCTGTTTCTGCTAAGACTTGAACTCGGATCCCCATGCTTTCATAGCAAGTGCTCTTACCCACTGAGCCATCTTCTCGGCCCCTGAGCAGCACCTTCAAAGACCAGATCTAGTTTGGACTCCTCAGCTCCCCCACCCCAGCATCTTCAAAGAGAGTCCCCCCTTTGCACTTTCTGTGACCTGTATTAGTCACTTTTCTATTGCTGTGATGAGACACCATGACCACTGCAACTTACAGAGGTATTCACTGAGACTCACAGTTCCAGGTTAGGGTCTATGACATCATGACTAGGAGCATGACAGGGCCTTGGGTGGATGGAGGCCAAGGCTCCAGAGGAGGCATCTGGATTTTCAGCAGGTGCAGGCCCACTCTGGCTTCCCGGGTCACAGGCAAGCGACTCCCAAATGCGTGCCCATGAGTGAGGAGCTTTCTTAGGCCTCTCACCAGACACCTGCATGCTGCCATCTGTCCCCAAGCCCAAAATTCCCTCAAGGCCAAGCCACTCCCTTCTACATCCTCTGCCACAACTCCTTACCTGGGTAACACAAATCTGTCCTCTTCCCATGGCCCAAAGCTGCAGCCTCACCCCTGCCCCAGGACTCTGGGCTCATGGCCACCATTCCCCTTCATCTGCCCGAGGGCCTGGAGATCTGAGAGGACCGCCTGGTGGTGGGCCAGTCCTCAGGGCTCCAAAGGGCAATGGCTCCTTTGGTTGCTCCCTGAAGCAATAGGGACCCAGAGTCACCAAAATTTTTTTTAGACATTTCAGAGAAGGCCTGAATTCCAGATTTTTTTTTATGTGAAAGTTCTCAGTTTCAAAATATTGGATCAAAACCAAAAACTTCTTAACACTGGCAGAGCCAGAGAAGTTACATGTGACGGATGTGGTCTAAGCCCTGCTGATTATGGCGGCCTTGTGATGGGATCCACTACATGACCCAACCAACCAACCCTCCACCTGTCCAGCGCTTCATCTCTGGTCCACAGGATATGGCGAGTGCCTGCTGCTGAGCCTGAAGTGGGGGTAAAGGCCATAGATGCAGGGCTGGCTGCCGTTGCCTCTGCTTTCTCCTGCTGCCTTAAGGGTTTCTTGGTTTCCTTTAAACCTTTGGTTCATGTCGATTTATTTTGGTATAACATGTGAAGTGAGGTTCTAAATTAATTTCTTTTACAGATGGGCAGCCAATTGTCCCAATACTAAATGTGGAGAAATCCTGTTTCAAATGCCAACTGGATCATATGGTAACTTCCTATATATATTGGATGACTTCCAGTAATTTCTAAATTATATGGCTATTCATATACTTCCTCTATAGTTCCAATTATTTCAGCTTTATAATAGGATTAAAATCTGTATAAATAATGGAGAGGGTTCTCCCTGCTCCCTGCATTGCTGTTTCCAAACTTCTCCTGGATATGTGTGTTTTTCCGTATTGCCCTCTCTAGTTCAGTGAGACCTGTGTGGCTATTGTTCAGTGTGGAGCTTCATTTAGGGAGAAGTGGCATTCTTGTAATGTCATTTTACCCATGAGTATCTAAGCTCACATTTGTGCTCTTCAGTAGTATGTAAAAGATTGCTTCCCATGGATTTTGGCACATCTTCAAGAAATTTATTTCTGGGGCTGGGAAGACAGCTCAGCTGGTAAAGTGCTGCCCTTGCAAGCATGAAGCCCTGAGTTCAACCCCTAGCTTCCATTTAGAAAAAAAATTGCTCAGCGTGGTGAGTGTTTGCAATCCCCAAACTGAGGAGCAGAGGCAGGGGGATCCCTGGGACTGGGCAGCCAGCCAGCCTAGCTCAATTGGCAAATTCCTGCCTTGTAAGAGACTCTGCCTCAAAAAACAAGGTGGTCAGTTCCTGAGCGGTGGCACCCATGCTTGCCTCTGCTTTCCCATGCCCACCTGTGCACTCCCACAGGCACACACGTGAACAAGCACATACACATGTATACATACACGCAAATGGACAATCTTAAAGTAAAAGACTTTCTTCACACTGACTTTACATTTTTTGAAAAAAAGTTTATCTCCAGGTTGTTTTTATAAATGGGCCATTTTATCCATTACAGTTTAGCTTTGGTTTGCTTCTGAAGTCTTTGAAGGCCAAGGAGTACTTATTTTGTATAGAGTTGTCTTATAAAATTCTTTTGTCATTTTCAATCTTTTCCCCCTGTTGAGTCTTGTGGGGTTTTAGGTAAATGAGCAAATAATCCTCAAACAGTGAAAGGTTGCTCTCTCTTTTCCAACACAATATCTCAGTCTAGCTTTATCGTACAAGACCCAGAACAATAGTGATGGTGATGACCTTGGCTCCAAGAAAAATATATAAATGTCTATTTATAGAATGATACACCCATCTAGTCTAGTCTAACTCATTAAATTCTTTTTTCCTGAGAATACATTCTGAGCTTTTGAAGACACCTTTTTTTTTTTTTTTTAGCTTATAAGAGATAAAGAGAAGATCCCAGAAGCCTTGAGAAACCGAAAAGTCATGCAACAGAGGATCAAGACTTGGGATGGCACTGGGCTACTTCTCATCAACCCAGAATGCCACATGCCAATAAGGACTGCCTTCAGAATGTGGAGTGGAGATGATTTCCAAACGAGATTTATACAGCCAGCCAAACTGTCAATCAAGGATCCAAAAACTGAACTCCCATATGCAGTTTCAAGGATGCTACTGGCATGTATATTATAACTAAAAGAAGGCAGTAGACCAAGCAGGAGGGGGGCTTCGGATCCAAGCACCAAAGAAGAAGTGTGGAAGAGAGGTTAAGGGGTTTCCTGGGAAAATGGTGGAGGGAAATTTCAGAATATCTACCATGCAGACATCTAGGAGGGTGTCTGGTTCAGGTCACGGCAAGAGGACAAAGGGTGTTAAGAAAAACCAAAACAGAAGTGATCGGTTACCAAAAGAATCTGATTGCATTACTAGAAATTTTAAAACTGTATACATGTTTGTGGGAAGAATTAGTAATGTGGCTTTAAAATGTAAATGAAAAACAGAGGCAATTACCAACTCCAGGGAAAACAAAAAGCTGCATAGTTCAGCAACCACACCTGCAACACCTGATACAATGGTTAATGCTTATGTTATCAACTTGACAGGATCTGTAATTGCCCAGGACATAAGCCTCTGTGCCTGTCTGTGAAATGTTATCTACATTAACTTCTGAGGGATTTTCTTGATTAGGCTAATTGAGGTGGGAAGATCTGCCCTAAATGTGGGTGACACCATTCCCTGGGCTGGGATCCTGGACTCTTAGACCTGGAGAAAGGGAGTTGAGCACCAAGCATTCATTTCTTTGCTTCCTGACTGAAGGTGACTCCCTCACTGTGGTGGTGATACCCTTGAATTGTGAGTCAAGACAAACCTTCCTCCCTTAAGTTGCTTTGGTCACTAGGAAAGGAAACCCAGAGTCTTTGTTTAGCTGTTAACAACATGTACATGGATCAGGTAGAAGGGGTCTCTGAGTTAGCAACTGTGATGGGATTACATTGGGAGGGGAAGTGTGTGCCTCTGTGTGGTGGCTGCTGTGGAACTAGCAGTCTTCCATAAGAGGAGGCCAACAAATAGTATGTGAAATCAGAAAAGGATGGTATTTAGAAATATGAAAGTAAATGTCAGAGGGAACGAAGAGAGGACTTGAAGTCATCTCCTCCAAGGAGAGGTGGGTCTGCTGCTTTTCATTATCGGTTTCATGCAACGATTTGACTTTTACAATCTCATAACAAACTATTGATCAAAATGGAAATTTAATTTAAAAATGCCCATGCATTTATGACCTAACTCAGCTTTTGAACCTCTCCTGCTGCTCAGGAAATGAGCTGACCAGAATTTTGAAGATCAAGGGTACAGTCTCTCAGCTCTGTAAATTGCTAGTCGTATGGCCCAAGGCCAGTTGCTCAGTCTCTCAGAGTCTCCATTAGTTCAACTGAGAAGCAGGGGTAATTCCAGTATCTTCTTCATAGGGCAACTCAAAAGATGACATAAACACTCAGGATTGTACACTAAAAGGATGCCTGTTGGTGTCATCTTCCTGGTTTTATTTTTGTTCTTTCTGTTTCTTTTGGTGTGTGTGCACGTGCTTGTGCATGTGCATGCGTGTTTTGGCACTCATGTAGAGGTCAGAGGACAACCTTGGGTGTGAGCCCTTGCTTTCTACCTTGCTTTCTGTTTTTCCACATTATCTACCAGGCTCTCTGGCCTGCAAGCTTCTGGGGTTCTCCCAGCTGCCCTCATCCATCTCTCTGTAGGAGTACTGGGGTTGCACATACACACTGCTGAGCTCTCTGGCGGGCAAGCTTCTGGGGTTCTCCCAGCTGCCCTCATCCATCTCTCTGTAGGAGTACTGGGGTTGCACATACACACTGCTGAGCTCTCTGGCGGGCAAGCTTCTGGGGTTCTCCCAGCTGCCCTCATCCATCTCTCTGTAGGAGTACTGGGGTTGCACATACACACTGCTGAGCTTGGCTCTCAACGGTTGCTGTTTTCATTCCGTCCAGCTCAATTCCTAAGGGAATAACTGTGGACAAGTTCTCTGAGCCTTGCCCTTTAAACATGAAGTATTTTGCACTGCTGAGCAGACAAATGAGGTAGAGGTGCAGAGTATCCAGGATGCAGCACCTCATTTTTCCAGAACTCTGATTTTTCATCGGCAAAGGGAGACAATGCTTCCAAGGCACTGTGCGCATTGATGGCATGATCCTGAGAGATTACTGCTCTGGGTTGCATTTATTACTCAAAAAGCAGTCAACTGAGGAAATTCTAAACTCATGGACTACACTGAGAAACATGGGAAAATCTAGAAACATGTGCCAGCACATTTGTTACTTTTTCTCATCCCTGTACGCAAGTACCTGTCAAGAAGCAGTCTTCAGGAGGCTCAGTTCAGAGGAGAAACGGTTTATTATGATGGGGGAGGGGAGGTAAGGTGACGAGACCATGGTGAGAGGATGAAGCTGCTTGTTGCATTGCACTGACAGGAAGAGAGAGCTGTGACAGATACAGCTGCCACAGTGACCCATTCCTCCAGCGAGCACTGCAGAGCAGGTGTGTCCAACCCTCCTTTAAAATGTCTTTTATTTTCATTTTATGTGAGTGGGTGTTTTGCCTGCATATATGTCTGTGCACCACGTGAATCCTTGCTGCCCAGGGAGGCCAGAAGAGGGCATTGAATTCCCTGGAACTGGAACTGCAGGCAGTTGTGAGCCTCCATGTGTGCTCTGGGAGCTCAACCAGGGTCCTGTGCAAGAATGGCAACCATTCTTAACCGCTGAGCCATCTCCCAGCCTGGTATGTCCAACCTTTGACATTGACACGCAACATTATCATCTACAAAGTTCACAATGGGGATCTGTAACTGATTTACAGGAAAAAAAAGTCTCATGAGTCTGGAGAGATGGTTCAGCAATTAAGAGCACTTGCTGGAGTTCCATGAGTTCCAAAGTTCAAATCTCAGCACCCACTTCAGACAACTTACAAACGCCTATAACTCCAGCTTCAAGAGAGCTGGCCCCCTGCATGTACGCGTGTGCGCACACTCACACACACATCTCATAATATGTTACATAAGCTTCTCATTAGTATTGGCCTGCATTCATAGTTATCCTTGGTTGCATGTGGCCTGCAGGCTGCATGTTGGACAAGCTCAGGAAGTTACGACTACCTTAAACAGCACTACCAGCTGGGAATTCTATGTTCAGACACACGAGCCTATGGGGGAAATTTCACATGCCCATCAGACAGACAGGAGTTTTTCCCATTTTATTTCCTATGGAGAGAGAGAGAGAGAGAGAGAGAGAGAGAGAGAGAGAGAGAGAGAGAGAGAGAGAGAGAGAGAGAGAGAGAGAGAGAGAGGAGAGAGAGAGAGTGTGTATTCCTGTGGTGATGGTGATGGTGGATCTCAGTGGCCTCCTTTCTGCTTATTCCTAGATACAGGAGTTGGGTGGCTCTCGGGCCACTGTCCCTTGGTGGTGACCCTATAGAGCTGCCAGCCGTCACTAGGAACTCAGTTTTCCCCGGTGGACAAGGCTGGGGAGGGATGGGCTAACAGGGAGACACTAGTGAGGAGGCATGGGTACCAGAAAGCAGCACAGGTTATTCCAACTCACATTGATGATCGAAGAGAGAGAGTTGTGCGGTCATCCTGAGCTGGGGAATGGAACTGCCCTCCAAAGTGCCTGGCCACATGGCTAAGGGGACCCAGGACAGAGGGGCACTTTGTATTGTGTTTGTGCACCCGGAGCCACATGGCCCGCACTGGGCTCCTTTGCAGGCTGCTTTTGTCTTCGTTACATCATGAATCCTCTTTGAACACATGTGGTCGTCAGCACAACACAAACTGAAGAAAGATTTCAAGTGGCTGGTGACACTCTTTCTCTCTCCCCTGTTCCCTCCTTCCTCTTCTAATTTAGGGAACTGTGTGTAGGTGGCGGAGATCCAGGCTTCTGGTCTTTGCATGTCAATGCTCAAAAATATCTCCCCATCCTTCCCCTCCTGGCCAGCCAGCATGGACAGGCATGTCCCCGTCCCTCCTTCTTATGGGGGAGCTCGGGCAGGCCTGGGGTGTCATTCACTCCAGAAGTAACACCTCTGGAGGTGAGGCCAAAGGAGCCCGCTGAACAACTGCCGGGTTAACAACTGCACATGTGGGGTGCGGCTGCACGCGGCTCTGCTGGGGCCTCCTTGTGCAGACAGTCAGCCGGTGGTGTTAATGTGCTGTGTTAAAAGTGACACCAGAGCGCTGCAGGCGCCACTGTCAGCTGTTGCGGGAGATGACACCCCGGCCTGCAGAGTTGGGTGCGAGCTCAGAGCAGCAGCCCTCCCCCTCACTTGGGTCCCAGGATCCTGGAGACCCACGGGAAGTGGTTCAGGAGAGGCGAGCATGGTAGCCTGCTGAAGGAGTACTTTGTCCCCAGCTTGCAAAGAGCAGGACATAGGCTATGGGGACAGTGAAGTCACAAGGCTGAAGGGACAGGTTAGAGACAGGAAGGAAAATGTCCATGCTGAGAGCTCAGGGCTCTCTCCTCCCAGGCCTTCCCTCTCTCCTTCCTTCCTCCTTCCCTTAGCCCGGCCTTCTTTCTCTCTGAATACAGATCGGACTAGACAAGGCTGACCTTGAAGTTGCTAGATAGTCCAGGATGACCTTCAACCCCTTCTCCTTTTGCCTCCACTTCCCAAGTGCTGATTCCGGGTGGACACCAGGACACCCAGTTTATGCTGTGCTGGGGATTGAACCCAGAGCCTTGTGCATGCCAGGCCAGCAACTCTACTAACTAAGCGACACCTCCAGCCCTCAGACTCTCAGCCCAGTGCCTCCTCTGGGGCTCCATAGAGCAGCTGTGGTTTTCACATGATGCTATGGACAACTGCTGAGGTTTACAATTCAGTCATGAAAGGGTACAGGCTTAGAGTGACTAAAAAGGAACACAGCAAACACCCGCGTCTGGTGTTGGAGTGGATGGGCAAATGCCAGGAGCTTCAGAGGACTTTGAAGGAGAGTGACATTGGTGAGGACTGAGAAACATAGATGCCCAGAGAAGGGAAGGGAAAGGAAGTGACTCTCACCGTCACACTCATTTCGCAGGTGGGGAGACTTGGGGTTAGCTCACTTTCTTCTGGGGGTAGAGTTACCACTGCAGCTAAGACAGTGCGGTCCGTGTGCTTTGTGTGGAACCTTCATGCATCTGCCCTTGTAGCCTGGGGAGGAGCAGTGCCTACTTCAGCTATGGGAGTGGCCCAAGGTTCAACAAAAGAAAAAACCAAGAACACTGCTCCTTTGGGGTGTGAAGCAAAGCAACTCACCCCTAGAGTCTGAGGAGATAACTCAGTAAAGTGTTTTCCATGCATGCATGAGGCCTTGAGTTCAGTCACCAGAGCCATGTAAGAAAGCTGGACACAGTGGCATGCACTTGCAACCTCAAATCTAAGGAGGGGAAGCCAGGTGGGTCCCTGGGGCTTGCGGGCCATCGAGCCTAGCTTAGTGCTTCCAGGCCAATTCAAGACTCTGTCTCAAAAAACAAAAACAACAAAAACAAAACAAGGTGAATGGTATCTTGAGGGCGACCTCCGGCATCTGTCTCCACATGCATACTTACAGACATACACATATGAACACACAGAGACACACACCCCATCTCTTCACGGAATGAAGTTGTTATTTTATTCTTTTCCTTGTAACAGTCTTAACTAGCTCATTATGACTTCCACTTTGTCGTTCGGGAAACGGAGGCTAGAAAAGCAAATGTTGTACATTCCTATGGTTCTTTTGGAAATGGCACCTACTGCTGTCATTTCAGGGTCACCAGCTGCTGGTGCCAAGTCAGAAATCATTCGAGACAATTCCAGTGTCTGTGAACGTCAGTTCATTTGCTTGCTAAGCCCTCTTTCCTCTTGGAACACCTCCTGCCTTCCATGATCCTAGCCTGGACCAGGAGGAACGAATTTGGAGGGAGTCACCTATTGGCTGGCTATCAGCCAATCAATTACTCCCTCTAGTTCCACCCTCACTGTGTATATGGAACTACGTCTGGAATCCCAGATTTGGGAAGGATGCTAGCCAGCAATCTGAGACTGTCTGTATTAAAAGTCCTCAGTACTGCCTGGTTTTCCTGTCAGCCCTACTCTCTTCCTCTTGTTAGGAGCCTGGAACTTGTGACTTCTGAGACCCTATTAATCTTTTCCTTTATCCATTCAAGATTTCTCCCTCGTGGGTAATCAAAGGTACCAAGAAATGTAACCCAATGTAGTTCAGTCTCAGCAAGGCATTTTCTCCCCTGTGTGTGTGTGTGTGTGTGTGTGTGTGTGTGTGTGTGTGTGTGTGTGTAGAGATTTTAATTGAGTGTCATTTGTATGTCAGGCACCTTTCACAAACACACATTCCATTATGTTACTTTCGTGTGTCTGTATGTTTGTGTTCTTGTGGGGATCAGAGGTAAGTGTTAGGTACTATCTTCAA